TTTTCAAATTTGGAAAAATTAATTTTATAATAGTCAATAGGTTAATTTTTCAATTTTTAAGAGGGGTGAGGGCCCATTCATTTATTTACACACGGGCCCAAAATGGTGTAGTTGCGGCGCTGCTCACTAAGCATATATTGATTTGCTATGTTAACACAAATTCAACATCTGTTTTAAAGGTATGCATAAAAGGTATTTTTTAGTCATACCGCATAGTGTAAATCACAATAATATAAGTTATAATTATCAACAATCCTTACCCGTTGAACGGAGTCCAGCCGTTTCCTTGGACAGCTGATACTTGGACTGCTGTCCATCGGGTTTGGAGTTCATTGTAACGGCGGTAGGCTGTATCTGAAAACAGTTAAAAGAGAAAAAAACKGGTTTCAAATTATATTCGCGATCATATTATGATATTCGCTAATCATGTATAACTTGGTAGTGAATGTGTGTGCGCATGTTTATGCGATAAGGCGAGATGCACAGAAGGGTCGTGAGTGGGATGCGTGCCGTGTGGGGAGTGATGGGGAAGTTTAGGGTGTAGTGTACCCACACAACATAATAATATWATAATATTATATACGTCGTCGATTCGTTTAACGTGTGCCTGCAAAGGTTTATGTATATATACACGTCGTCGTGGTGCGGCAGGACTCGATGGGACGTACATATAATTTATCGTAATARGTACCTACCTAATAATGTATAATAATATGCTTGAATGATTGCTAATAAAACGAACCAACACTTATAATATGAGGCAAATAAAAATTACTCATAATAAATAATACGATTACATCATTAAGTGTAAACAGTGGCATACTAATTAGAGTCTGAATTTTGGGGAGATGGGCATGTTTGATTCTTAAATTTTTCCATATTAGGTGACCTACTGAACATAACTAAACATATCTTACATTTTAATAGACTTCCAATTTTTATTTGTGTTATTATTTTTAATTGATATATTAACCTTAATTTTAGTATTTTCATAATAAAGAAATGCTTTCTAATAATTTCGGGTTGAGGGGCGTTATCCCCCCCCCCTCAGTAGTACGCCACCGAGTACTTATACCTATATTATTTATAATAATAAAAATTAATGGAAGTAGCAGTGGCGTCGCTTGTGATGGGAAGGAGTTGAGTGGAGGAGAGGGAAGGTTTAAGAGTTAGAAATTTTATCTCATTAACGTTGAGATCAGAATTTATACTTAACAATATTAATATGATGAATTTGTTTTTTTATATAATATTTACAAATTGTTTTCATATAGATTGATTTCAGAGTAACATATAATATTATAGTCTACTGATTGCCATTTTTATTATAAGTATGATAAATTCAAAGTTGTATTTCTATATCATATTTTACTTTAAACTGCAAATACTATGTGTTGTGTATTTAAGATATGTATGCATGTACCTATGTCCTATATTACCTCTATACTAATGATATTGTTCGGACAACAGGCGAGTAGCATATTATGCATATTATTAATATTATTATATCCTCTAAATTAGAGACAAGAATGTTAAAAACAGGATATTTTGATTTTGAAGACTGCGGATAATAGTAATAATTATTATAAATAATAAGGAAAAATGTGAAATGACGCCACTGACAATTCAGCGGACGAACTGAAGTTTATTTGTAACCATATATAATAATTTTATAAATTCTGATTACTACTACTACTACTACTAATAATAATAATAATAAAAAAAGCAATAAATTTCATCATAAATATTATGTAATAGGTACGGTCGTCGCAGCGGTAGACCGTTTTATTGCCGCCGACGAGCAATGTGGCGTATTTACCGAATTATTCAGATGCGAGTTTGTTCGCTGCACAGGCGGCAGTTAGTCGAATCGTCGCGGCTAGACGATGATCAACACTCGTTGTTGGGAACGACGAAGTGGCACAGGCAGTGGCGACGGTGGCTGGACAGTGGAATGAGCTCGAAGACGACAGTCGGCTGCAGACGAGCGAATGTCGTCGGAACGGATTTGGCCAGAGAGAAAACAGGGCACGTCACGNAAAGTATGATTAGTTCAATACAAATGACTTTAAACGATATTTAGCGGAATTATCACCATTTTTTACAAAATTTTTTCACGACCTTTTATATTCACCCAACCCTAAATTTTTATCTTGCGTTTCGCCTGCCCACTCACCACCCATTCATTGTTAGTTTATTCTACCAAAATAAATAGATTTCTGATTTCTACTATTCTGTAATACTATAAAATAATATATTCTCCAGGATAATAATATACATATTTGCATGAGACTTAAGAATTGTTGACAGTTGTCCTACATTAACATAGGGTTTGGTGCTACTGCCTAATAATACATTTTACTCTATAAAATCAGAGTGAATTTACCTTTTATAAATTTTAAAGGCAAGAATATTATCTATTGCATCTGGAAGATTTTATTRATATTATTATTTTTAAGTAAGTTATGATCGCTTTAAAAWGTACAAAAACAAAAAAGTAGTTTGAAAATGGTCATCATAACTTACTTAAAATTAATTATATCAAAGGAATACTTCGAAATGCCGTAGATAATATTCTTAAATTTAAATTTTATAAGAGGTAAATTCACACTAATTTTCGATTTTAGAAATTACAGAGTAAAACGTATTATTGTAAACGTAAAATATACCATGTTGAACGTTTGTAAAACGTAGACAACAAATACCCGTGTGGCGTCCTCTTAAKGCACCTACCTACCTACCGAGAACTATAAGCTTGTGATGATGGCAAACTTTAAAACAAGGCAGCACGCTAAATAATTAAAAAGTTACTTCGCAAGTAAAAATGGAGATTACAAATCTTAAAGGCAACGGTTTTTAATGAATATTAATAGGCATGAACCATATATAAAATATTATAAGAAGGTAGTTAAAAGTTTAAAAATTCTCTTTTATTCTTTAGATTAAATTAAACTGAAAAAACCTAGAATATTGATGGATTATAATTTATAAGTACGATATTTTAGTATTGTGAATATAAATAACTAACTAAATACCACCTAGGCATAATTGTTGATACTATATTATAYCAATAATAGTGCCAGAATCACTCACTAACAGTGCCGCAATAACCGGGTGTGTTGCGTGTRTCAAACACACGGGCCCAGGGCACCAACCCATAATGGGAGCCCAATGATAAAAATTAAAAAATATATAGAAAGAAATATAATAAAACTATTTTGTTATAATAATTATTATTAATACAGATTGAGCAATAGATCGGTTTTGTTTTGTACACAACATTATCGTATATTAACGTTTCTTATGCAGCCTGAATAACCGAAATTAAAAATAGTTTGGTAGTTTGGTTACAATTGATTAAAGCGCGTCATGCGAAGGAGTATTGAGTATTGAGTAATAACTCAAAATTCCAAAGTATRTTTTCAAATTTGGAAAAATTAATTTTATAATAGTCAATAGGTTAATTTTTCAATTTTTAAGAGGGGTGAGGGCCCATTCATTTATTTACACACGGGCCCAAAATGGTGTAGTTGCGGCGCTGCTCACTAAGCATATATTGATTTGCTATGTTAACACAAATTCAACATCTGTTTTAAAGGTATGCATAAAAGGTATTTTTTAGTCATACCGCATAGTGTAAATCACAATAATATAAGTTATAATTATCAACAATCCTTACCCGTTGAACGGAGTCCAGCCGTTTCCTTGGACAGCTGATACTTGGACTGCTGTCCATCGGGTTTGGAGTTCATTGTAACGGCGGTAGGCTGTATCTGAAAACAGTTAAAAGAGAAAAAAACKGGTTTCAAATTATATTCGCGATCATATTATGATATTCGCTAATCATGTATAACTTGGTAGTGAATGTGTGTGCGCATGTTTATGCGATAAGGCGAGATGCACAGAAGGGTCGTGAGTGGGATGCGTGCCGTGTGGGGAGTGATGGGGAAGTTTAGGGTGTAGTGTACCCACACAACATAATAATATWATAATATTATATACGTCGTCGATTCGTTTAACGTGTGCCTGCAAAGGTTTATGTATATATACACGTCGTCGTGGTGCGGCAGGACTCGATGGGACGTACATATAATTTATCGTAATARGTACCTACCTAATAATGTATAATAATATGCTTGAATGATTGCTAATAAAACGAACCAACACTTATAATATGAGGCAAATAAAAATTACTCATAATAAATAATACGATTACATCATTAAGTGTAAACAGTGGCATACTAATTAGAGTCTGAATTTTGGGGAGATGGGCATGTTTGATTCTTAAATTTTTCCATATTAGGTGACCTACTGAACATAACTAAACATATCTTACATTTTAATAGACTTCCAATTTTTATTTGTGTTATTATTTTTAATTGATATATTAACCTTAATTTTAGTATTTTCATAATAAAGAAATGCTTTCTAATAATTTCGGGTTGAGGGGCGTTATCCCCCCCCCCTCAGTAGTACGCCACCGAGTACTTATACCTATATTATTTATAATAATAAAAATTAATGGAAGTAGCAGTGGCGTCGCTTGTGATGGGAAGGAGTTGAGTGGAGGAGAGGGAAGGTTTAAGAGTTAGAAATTTTATCTCATTAACGTTGAGATCAGAATTTATACTTAACAATATTAATATGATGAATTTGTTTTTTTATATAATATTTACAAATTGTTTTCATATAGATTGATTTCAGAGTAACATATAATA